GAGAATGAAAGGATACAATTTTTTCTTATGTCTGATTGTTTATATTGCCCAATATGCAGGAGGAGTGTGAGGTTTCCCTACAAGGACGTGCTCTAAACAACAATACTCTTCCGGTCATTCTCCCGCCTGTACACAGGCTGTAGGAGCACTGCCAGAGGAGGCCAAGGGCCCCCAGATCACAGACTAACGGTGCTGCCTGCCGGCTCTTAACGTGAAAAAGCCTCTGGCTTTCGATTATAGCAAGTGTTGGGAATTACATAAAACAAGGCCACTTACATCAATTTTTGAGGTTTTGGCAAATGCTCCCACTGGATGTACATGGTCATAGAGTATGATGACGCCCACCATTACCCTCAAGCAGAACGACACTGTCTCTTCGTTTGTGAACCTGCTTCTGTATTCCCTGGAGGGCAGAGAAGACATGATGCATGAGGCTCATCACAAATGAATGAGCTGATTCAACTCTCAAGCTGATGCGGGAAGACGCACTGTTAACCTGTAAGAGGTGATAACATGAAGCCGCCCCTCTCCCCTGCAATGGCGCTCCCAGACAGGTGTGTGCAGCAGTCAGCACTTTCCTCCCATGGTCTCTCCATGCACCTGAGTTTACTGCCCATTCTGCTAGCAGAGATCAGACCATTTTTGAGAAACCCAAAGTAGCCCCAAGTAAAAGTTTGGGAATAAGTGCTATCACCAATATGATGAAAAAAGTCACTAGCTTAACAGAGCGAGTGTGTCTGGGCTGATTTATCTAAACACAGTACTGTATTAGTGGATTTTAATTCTCTAAAATCTGACTGGATTATTCTCTCATTTGTCTATATAAAAGGCATCATATCCCAGCAGAAAGAGTCCCAGCCCGGGATGAAGGGTCCAGGCGCGTGTGGGGTCGGTCACTGTGCACAATCCCTTCACTCCCCAGGCCTCACTCTCCTAAGGGAGGAGGAAGAGAGGAAGGAGGGTGATAGCCGCCCTCTTGCTTGTAAGGTTTTCCTGGGAGGCGGCATATAGAACAGGACTTTGGAAAACGCAGAGCTCCACTAAAACGACAGTTATCTAGTAAGACCATATACTCAGGAATCCAGGTGGAGTCTTTCTGCCTATGACAACATGTGGCAGACATCCTGAACGGCGTGAGAGGAGAAACCCAGTAGGGGACTCAGGCGAGTGGTGAAAAAATGAAGACTGAGAACTCATACTGAGAAAAGGGGGTTAGCAGAAGAATAAAGGAGAGAGAATGTATGAAAAGCAACACTGAAAGAGCGTTAAAACTCCTTCCCTTCGCTTCAAAGCACCACAAAAATCTCCATTAGGAAGAGTCTGAGTTAGTCTTGCTGGTCTCAGGCACCTTAAAAGCAGCTGGACTGACACTTAACCAGAAGTTCCATGAAGCTGCCAAGTTATTTTAATTATGCTCACATATTACACTGGTTACCTGGGATCGCCTTAATTCCCACCCTACAATTAAGACATGTTTCCATCTGGACAACCATCCCACAGGATTATGAAAGTGAGAGTCCAGCCGACACGATACTCACGGCGTTTCCAGCATGACTCTACACACGCTGGCCATGGTGCTCAGACAGTCCGTGGTATTTTCTATGGGTAAGTTTTTATTCTGTAAAGGTGCACGGAGAACAAAAAGAATAAAAGTGAATTAGTACATAGGTGTAAGCTAAAACCTAGCATAACATGAAAAATTGGCAAGTTTAATATTCAGTTTCTACTTTTAATTTTGTAAAAAATGCACTAGATTCTAGGTACTGCTCTAAGCTCTGGGGATACAGCTACCAGCTAGGCAGCCAAGGCCTCTCTCCTGAGAGGCGTGTAAACTGGGGCTGGTGGAAAGAGCGTAGCACACAGACGGGGGCCTGGAGGCTAGGAGCTAGGTGGATTTCATCTCAAGGGAACTGGGAAGTCACTAGAAACATGTAGAGCAGAGGAAGAAAATGAGGTTTCTGTTTTAAGAAGACTTTGCTGCTCTTTGGAGAAAGGACTATAATGGGCAAGAGTTCTCATAATGGAATAAGAACAGTCAGAACATGACTGCAGTAATCCAGGTGAGAGGGACCTGGGCTCATGTGGAGAGGTAGCAAGAGAGGGGTTCAGTTTTCAAATTCAGCATTTATTTTGGAGCCAATAAGACTGTCTGATGGGGTGGACAGAAGGGGTAAGATAAAGAAAGGAATTTAGGATAATAAGTCATAGTTATTTGTATAGGACCTCGGAGATACTGCGGGTTCGGTTCCAGACAACCACAATAAAGCGAGCCATCTCTTTTGACTGGTGGGAGGTCTTGCCATCAATTTGTAAAGAATGCAATATTTGTGAAGTGCAGTAAAGTGACGCATAATAAAACAAGATCTGCCTTTACAGTGGTACTCTTTTTTTAAAAAAAAATGTTTTTATTGATTTTAGAGAGAGAAGAAGGGAGAGGAAGAAACATCAATGGGAGAGAATCAACATCAATCAGCTGCCTCCTGCACACCCTATAACAGGAATCAAGCCCTCAACCTGGGCATGTGCCCTGATCGGGAATCGAACCACTGATCTCTTGGTGCGTGGGTCGACCCTCAGCCAGTGAGCAACACCAGCTGGGCTACAGTGGAACTCTCAACTGAGACAGGAGAGACTGGGTCAAAGGCAGGGTTGGGGGAAAATCAAGACTTTGGTTTGGTC